ATCTATTCATTTTTTGAGTCTGAGTATGTGTAATTTACTTCATTCTCCATATTTACCTTGATGTCCTTGGTAAATAATTAAAAATGCGTACCTGTTTTTTTCATAACTGTAAAGTTGGTCTGCTGCAAAAAAGTATTTTGTAATTTTTATTTTTTAAAGATTCATGTTTTTCTTCAAGTATCGGGCAGATGTTTTGTTGTCCAAGAACTTTTTTAAGATTACATAAAAAGAAATAATTCTGAAACCCACAAAAGAAAATCCAAATCATATATATTCTACAATTTTACTTATTTATTTTTTAATTTTAACTTTTTTTTTTCATTTTTAACTATTGTACTTCGATTCTTCTCAGGTGTCAGCTTTACATTCTCTTTGATATATTATGTTGGTAAGGGGTAAAATTGTTAAGATTGTCATCAACACTCTAAAGGGATAAGCAACAAAGCCCTTTATTGTTCTTCTAACTTTTTTTTCTCTTCCTCTTTTAATTAGGACCCATTTTCCTTTCTTTTGAGATTGATATTGAAGAATAGAAACACCTGAATCCTTTATTCTCAATGCTTCAGTGCTTCCCAACTGCAATTACAATGCAGTTACATTCTTCCATCGCAATGCCTAAACATTAAGAGGCATGTACTAATGTCTCCCATTGTTACAATGTTTGTTTATATTTAATAGTTTCTTAACATATTTGATTGAGTTGATGTTTTATGTAAGTGGTTAAGGTTACACATGAAGACACACCATACACATCAACAACACGTTTTGAGGACATGCATATTCTCAAGGCTTCTTTTGCATCATCAACATCATACTCCCTTCAAATTATTGAGATTTTAGATTAGCTCTCTGACTTTCTTTCCAGCCATTCTATGTTAAACATGGCCAATGATTTTTTTCATATTTCATTTGGATGAAGATTAGAGATAATAGTTGAACATAATCATACATCACATGATCTTATTTTTCTTTCTTTAACTGTTGGCTTTTAGAATGAAGCATCAGCCGATCGAAGCAAAGATGGTACTACCTATGTACCTATGTTTGAAGGGCAAGCTAGAATGAGGCATTAAAGAAGATAAGTTCTTGGATTTAAAGGTTAGTCCTACTTAATGGACATTTTTAAACTTCCAGTGTTTAATTTGATTTTAATGCTGAAAATAAACATTTTTGTACAAAAGATTGGAGGGAAGCACAAGTTATTTATAATTTTTACCTAATTTGTTGTTTCTATGCTTTGATTTCATGTTTATGAAGAATGACTAGATTTTGATCCAAGTTTAATGAGTGCCAATGGGTAACAAAATGTGATTTAGTGTATTGTTTTAATCAATTGAATTGTTTGTTTTATTAATATATATTGGGTAAGAAGTTTGCAGGAAAGCTTAGTCATAATATTCGAACACATTTGATTGAGTTATTTTTATTCTCCCATGTAGACATTTATCTTTCAATAATCGAGTTTATATATTTGTTTAGTTATGCCCATGCAAATCCAATGTGACAACTTTTTTTTTGTTTTGTTTTAGTTTGTATTGAATTTCTTAAATTTTTATATTTACTATTTTAAACATTAATTAAAATTTATTACTTTGAACTAAATTCAATAAATAAAATAATAAAATTTGCTTTCCAACATCTATAATAAAATCCATAATAAAGAAAATTATAATATATATTAGCCAAATTACAATTCTTAATGAATCTATTATGGCAATGATATCCATGGAATTACAATTTTTAAGGGGATCTGCATCTTCAGGCCTCCTTTTTATGGTGTATATTAGCCAAATTACAATTCTTAATTTATATGTCAATCCACTAATGTTAATATGTTTTGAATAGCAGGGATCAAGTAGCATCATAGGTCTATCCCTAATCATGTCATTAGTTCGATTTCTGATAAGCATATTTGGAGTTTTCTTCTCAATCAATTTTACAAGAAACCTAGGTGAATAAACCTTCTCTAAAACTAGAAACATTAGTCCATATGGTTGTTAATGGTCCTGAAAGCAACGATGTCTATGATTTGGTAAATTTTTTATTCATCATTATCATAAAGTTGGGATTTCTTATGGATTTAACATATATTTTCTATTGCATGCATCTTTTATGCTCAAACAGTTTAGCCTTGAGGCATGTTAATTCACACATGGAACTCGGCTCCAATACATGTCACTAGCTTAAATACCATTCTTTTTTTTTATTAATGTTTTTTTTTTCAAGATATGATTGTAGTTAAGGCAACAAATAATCTACTCTCAAAGTAGAATTCTTTAATAAGAAAACAAAATGTAAAACTTCTCTAAAACATTTTTTAATTTAATATTTTTTTTACTTGATTCTAGAAATCGATTCAAAACCAAATGTCGGTTAAGAATTGATACAATGATTTTTTTTGGAAGAGATGTGATTCCCAGCAAACGATTCAAAACCAAATGCATAAGATAATTTGACTTCTAACTTCTAAAGTTTCTAATGCTACGATGGTTTGATTCTTCGTTTATCAAAATATGGAAACGGTAATTATTTATAAGTTCATTTTTTTTTTTAATTTAGCATCAATTTAGCATCCTACTTAGGATGTAGAAACTGGACTATACAAGATTAACATCCTACTATTTCATTCTAATTTTGACTAATCTCTGTAATGATGTAAAAGGTTTATTTTGTAGATTTTTGAAGCTAAAAACAAGAATATGAAGGCGCTCTATATAAGGGATATACTGTTTATATCTCTATTTCTTCCCCTACTGTAGTTCCATAGAAATAAGAATATGAAGGCATGTTCCTTGTATATGTAGACTAATGACTATATTTTCATCTTTTTATGTCACTATGAGTTCCAAAATTAGTCAATTTATACCAACATACTTTTTATTTACAACAAACATACACATAATATGACATAAATAGGAAGTATGATGCTGTTAAACGAAAAATCATATAGGTTTACATTGCTTTAATTTAGGCTGCTATTGAAAGAAAAACATATTATAGAAACACATTTAAAATTAAATGAATAACTGTGGATTCCAAAATTAGTCAAAGTTTTGAGTTATTTTTCAAAGTAAAATGTCTAATAATGAAAAATTAGAAGAACATCAAAAAACATTTTTTATATGTTTAAATACAACAACATAGTACTTTATGTATCTTATTTAATCTATGCTACTTTTAGATTGATTACCAACACTTTATAATTACTTCTTTTACCATTTGCTTGATTATTTGCATAATGTGTTCAACTTATGAGCTTATGTATTTGTCAAAGTAACAAGTGCCAATGTCTTAGTTTCTCATTATTCTTATTTAAGCATTCTACTTTTTAAGTACAATCTCATAATTGCAGTTTCAATTAACATCTCAACCTTAAAAAGTACAATGTTATATTTGGTTTGTTTATGAAACTACAAGGCTATTTTTTGTTTTGCCTATGAAACTATAATGCACTTTCCGTTTTGCCCATGAAGCTACTTTTTTTATACACATAGAAAGTAAATGACCATTTATCCCTTTCATTGTTTCAATAAAATTATACTTATTTTGGCTAATAACAGTAATGCCATTTATATTGTTGTCATTTTTTTATAACTAAAACAGTTTTACAACTTATACTAATGTACTTTGAAAATGCGTTGCTGTAATTTATAAAACTTCATATTATTTTATGTTGTCTTACAATTAAAGTTACACATTTTTTTGTTGATATTTTATTTTATTTCTGTATAGTGAACATAAAAATAACAACCGTGGTTTTCACGGGTTATAACCTAGTAAGATAATAAATGGTTTGACCAATTTAATCTATTGATTTATTTAACCAAACAAAAAAACAATTGATTTTACTAAAAAGCTAATCAATAAAGTGCAAATGTATGTATATAATGAGTCTTGATTGCATAACCCATTTTTTTTGTTTGGTTAAATACAGCAAATAGTAGTATACCTTGGTCGCTTTTGTTCTAATGGCTGCTACTTTTATTTTTCACAATTGCAAAGAGGACAAACAACTTCAAATATGTTATCTCATATACTCTTTGAAGCAAAAAACTTGAAGAACACTTTGTTAATAGTTGCTCATGGATTGAATAAATATTTTACTTCCTGTTTTAACTTAACGTGTTGTATTATTTGGTGTTTGTTGATTTTTAAAATTTGCAGTTTTATATTTTCTAAATTTAATCAAGAAAGTTTACATGCACTTATTTGTAAGTTGTAATTTTTTTAAAAAGAATATTTTAAGGTTCATACAATACACTCCTGTCCGTTTGTATGTAATTATATCCTTATGTTTTTAAAAAGTCTATAGTATCATGCCAACTAAGAACTCAAATTGCTTTTGATTTTTAATCAAACTAAAAAAACCAATTTACATATTAAGTTGAATAGTTAGTCGTTTTTTATTAGCTATTTTGTGCGTTGGGTTTGTTATTAATGAAAAACCATCATATGTATAACACTTAGATATGATAAGTTTCATTAGTCATGAAAACAATAATATTTTTATAAGTAATTCACTATTGGAGCTATGATAATTTATAGAAACAGCATTCTAAATTTTACACATAATAATAACAAACTTTTGAAAATATTATAAATAGACAAAAGATTTTTAAATATGCTACATATAAATAGATGCTTGTGTAGATTTAAAAAAAAAAAAAAATTTCAATTTAAAAACAAGTAATGTATTGTTCTTTTGATTTTTAAAAACATGCTCTTTTGGACTTTTACAACATTTTCTAAAAATACATTGTTGAAATAGGAAATATAAAAGTGGGATGTTATAATAAATAGATAAATAAAAAATATGTTTCTTATTTTTACATTTAACATAATATTTTGATTATAAAATAATTTTTTATATTATTTTAATTTTTCAATATTTTTTTTCCTTTTTTACCCGTGGTTTCCACGGTTATAACATACTTATCTCGTAATAACATAGTAACACAGCAGGGAAGGCTTATAACAGATGTTCCACAATTACAAAGAATCTATGCAGCTTCTCTCCCTCTTTTCATCTTGGAAACTCTAATGGTGACTGCAACCTTTACCATGTCCATGGTTACTTCGACGAACATGAAAAGCTTCTTTCTCCATTGCTTCTTGAACACCAAAACTCCAATAACACCCCAAAACCCTACTGATAAACCACACATAGCGCCCAAGTAAAACCATATCTCAGACACATCATTTGCTTCGAGTTTGTTGTTGCTTGTTCTGGTTCTTGGGTCTTCATAATTGGAGCAATCATTCGGGAGTGGAGCACCACAAAGATCTATATTACCAGCATATATCGATGGATCTGTTAGGGTTTGCAATTGATTTCCTGTTGGAATTCGTCCTGACAAGTTGTTGTGTGACAAATTCAAATGGCTCAAGAAATTCAAAGCTGCTAACGTTTGAGGAATCATCCCACTCAACTCATTTCCTGAGAAATCAAGGGAAAATAACAACTTCATGTTTCCGATTCTTTCTGGAATAACCCCAATTAGATGATTATGAGACAAATTAAGACCCACCAACAAAGAAAGTGAAGTTAGCTCTTTAGGTATTTCTCCCATGAGCTTATTGCTTGAAAGATCCATGTTAAAAACTAAACCCAAAGTTTTTGTATATTCAAGATCAACTCCTTTCATGACCTGAATCACTGTCTCCCCAAAACTGGAACTTCCATTACGAATATCTTGCTCTCTTTTCTCAATCATGCCATTCAACTCCCCAAAACAACGAGGGATAGATCCTGTTAATCCGTTGTATGCAACATCTAAAATTTGAAGATTCGAATTTCTGCATAAAGATCGTGGAATTCTTCCGGTGAAGTTGTTGTTATGCAACCTAAGAACCATCAATGTCGTTACATTTTCTCCGATCCATTTCGGTATGTTTCCAGAGAGTTTATTATCACCGAAATCTAAAACTCTCAACGCTTTTAGCTTCCCCAAATCTTGAGGAATCTCTCCAGTGAAGCTATTGTCATTCAAATTCAACCATGACAATGATGGAGAAACATGACCTAATGATCTTGGAATAACACCAGACAACCGATTTGAACTGAATAGCATCATACGCAAGTTTTTCAGATTCTCTAAACATTTCGGAATTTTCCCGGTTAACCTATTTCTGGAAAGATCAAGAATATTCAAAGAAGTCCTTTTGCACAATGATCTCGGAATCAACCCATTGAAAAGATTATTTTGAACATATAGTGAACCTCCATACTCGTCTGTAAACCCATTTGGAAGATTTCTCAATGATCCACTCAAATTATTGTGAGAGAGATCTAAGAAACTAATGATGGGCATCTGTTGCAACCATGTGGGTAAAGCTCCAGAAATACTAGCATTCGACAACACTAACTTATCAAGATTCCTTTGAGTTTGAATCCACTGTGGAAATTCATCTGAAATCTTGCAAGAACCGAGTCCAAGGGTTTTTAACTGGAATCGAGGTATCCAATCACCAGAAACATGGAATGTCAAATTCCTATTCGAACTCATATCCAAGTACTTCAACCTTGAAAGATTAGCAAAATGGGATTCAGAAACTAATCCTTCTAAAGAATTGTTCGAGACATCTAGAAAATTGAGATGCGTGAGTTGCCCAATTGAAACTGGAATAGTCCCATTTAACGAATTTGAAGACACTGAAAATACTTGTAGTGAATCTAGTCTTTCTAGAGATTCTGGGATGGGACCCATTAACTGATTCGAATTCAGATTCAAAACCGTTAAATCTACTAAATTTCCAAAAGATTCTGGAATTGGACCGGTCAAGTGATTATAAGAAAGATCAAGTTCGGTCAGCTGCCCGAGAAATGTCGGAATGGGTCCCTCTAACTGGTTCAAAGATAGATCTAATATTTGTAACAATTTTAATCTTCCCAAAGCTTCATGGATTTGACCTTTTAATCTGTTTGACCCAAGATTTAATACTCTTAAAGTCGTTAGTCTTCCAAGGGATTCAAGGCTTATATCATTTAATCCATTCCCAAATAAATCCAATATCTCAAACGAATAATTTGGACATGTGGATATGTTTGTTGATGGGCCAATCATTTCTAGTCCAAGATTATTGTTCGAAACAATCAAACTTTTAAGGTGACATTGATTCCAGATTCCAATATGCTCAAAGTTGTTATATGAAAGGTCAAGGTTTAACAAGCTATGTATGACAGGAATCGATGAACTTAAACTGTTTCCCGAAAGATCAAGGGTCGATAACAAACTCATGTTTGTTAAAACAGAAGGAAATTTTCCTTCAATTGAATTGAAGCTAAGATCCAGGTTTATGACATTGGGAAGGCTTTTACTCAAATTAACATAAGGAACAAGATCGACATTTGAAATACCACAACATGACAAACTTAAATCTATTAACGAAGGAATAATGTAAAGCACCATGTGACGATTTGGTGCTTGATTAAGATCCACTCCATTTAAGTCAAGATGTTCGAGTGATGAAAGGCCAGAAATCCATGCCATATCATCCACCATCAAGTTTTGTGATACTGATAATGAATTGAGATCAAGAGACTTCAAATTGGAAAGATTTCCAATGTGATGCGGAATAATACCCATGAAACCTGTGTTAGAGAGATTTAGGTAATTTAGTTTTTTCAAGGATCCAATGAACTCTGGAATCCGGATTCCATGAAAATCATTCCCACTCAAGTCAAGGGATTTTAAGTGCCTCAAATCCGCTAAAGAGGAGCTCACCTCTTCACCAAATAAGTAATAGTCTTCACTAATAAGGCTATTGTCTTCAACAACTGAGGCGTAGCTAATGCCTCCATAATTACATGAATAAGAACGCGTTATATTACCTCTTAGATGTAGGCCAACAACACTTCCTGTGTAATCATCACAACGGACTCCTTTCCATGAGCAACAATCAGTGCTAACCCATGATGAGAGCATTTTGAAGTCATCTTTGATGCTACGTTTAAACTTGAGTAGAGCTAATACTTCTTCTTCAGAACAATTTTGAGCACCTACACACGTATCTATGGTGGCAAAGGTAATCGAGAAAAAGGTAAAAAGAATGAGATGAAGCCCCATGATTCAATCTCAACCTAATTCAAGTAATTGAAAATTGTAACAGGAGAGATGGGCGTCCTTATCTTGAATCGTTGGGAAAGAACAAACTAGTGTTCTCGGTCAATGCATAAGTGATGTTTGGTCAAGTCTTCATGTTGACTTTTAAGGCTACAAAAGTTAAGTAAAGTAAATTAGTAAATTACATACCATTCATTATAATAGGGTACTGTTGATCTAATGGGTGGTTGATTAAGTAAAGTAAATTATCTACTATTCGTTGGTAGAGATATATGTGAGGATGGAGGTGATCGGGGTTAGATTGGAATTAAAAAAAAAAAAAAAAAAAAAAAAAAAAAAAAAAAAAAAAAAGGATTATGAGAAGTGCAACAAAAAAATCTAGTTCGTTGATTGGTGGTCGGTGGATCATAGGAGGAACACACTCATTGTGAAACTAATGTAACCAATATGACAATCCAAATATCATTAAAATCTTTAACAGTAATAATCAAATTAGTTTATTTTTGAAGTTTTTTTTTTAGATTGTCATGTTCAAAAAATAGTTTATAAGTTATTTTTTTAAAATGAATGATTCTTCAATTTAAGAAATTGATTTATCCACATAATAAGATGCAACACCCCTGACCTAGGAATCGTACCACATCTTACCATATTCACCATATTCTTAGTCTGCCATGTCATTTTTCCCCTCACTCTCTTTTCACCCCACAAAATTGATAGGAATAGTACCACACTCAGCAAATGTTTTTAAAACTATGTTACAATCTGTGTGGAATTCACAGGTAAAAAATTTATAAAAAAATTATATTATTAATATGAAATATTTTTATTTCACATTTTTATATTTATTATTTAAAATTAATATTAATATATATTTGTACAAAAAGATACAAATTTGAATAGATGTTAAAGAGAAACACAAGCAAACATTAGAAAAGGTAAATACGAAGATAACTAAAATGAAACTTTGAATATTTGAATGTTTTATGAAATGCGAGGGCAAATCAGTAATTTTTTGATTTGAGGAAGCAAACATTAAACACCATGTGACATTGATTAAAGTGTGAAAATGAAATATCAAAACAAAATCAATATTATGGATTGCAATGATATATAAAAAATAAAATATTTAAAAAATAAAATAAAAAACATAATTCTTTTAATTTAAACAGTATGAAACATTTATAAATTTCTAAAAACCTCCTTATACACAACATTAGAAGTTTCATTTGTAAGTCTATCATCCTTATCTAAAATTAATAATTTCAATCATTCTCTACTTTGAACTCTCGATAAGGCAACATACAACTGTCCATGTGAAAAAACAGGATCTTTGAGATAGAGAACAACCTTTGATAGCGATTGCGCCTGACTTTTATTAATTGTCATTGCAAAACATACAACCAAAGGTAGCCTATGTAGAGATTTGTTGACATCACGGGAATCAAGCTTTCCTAATGAAACAACTTCTCCAATAATATCTACAAAATAATAATACAATATGTCAAAATGATGTAAAATTAAAGAATGAATATAATATACAATCAAGAAGGGGAAAAATTACCAATTGAGTCATTAGAGGTAGTTGTTGCAGAGATTATTGTTTCAAAAGAAATACAAGAAAAGCCATATGTTGTTTTGGATTGAAAGTGTAGACACTCATTAATAGTCGTTTTTGAGTGCAAATTTAACTTGGAGGTTACATCACTTATTTTAAAAGTGTATATGTTAGGAGCGATAGTGGGGGACCGGATGTAAACAGCTTGATCTTCTTTCAGTTTGGACTCAAACCTTTGAAAATCTCTTGGATACACACTTGCTCGGATTTTTGTATTTTAATAAATATAAATTGGTCAACATTGAAGATATTATTCGACCATGAGAGATTTTGAATAATATTATTGGAATGATCAAATAAACAAAAAAATGATTTTGAATAATGCTATTCGAATAGTCGATTTTACCATTTCATCCATGAGTATCATCTCAATTGATTTGACAATAGTGGGGTTGCCATCTGAAAGTGATCTCCACAGCCAGATGATAGACACTTTTAGTGTGTAATCATCCTTCATGTTGTCCAAGTCTTTAATCAAAGTGATGTTTCTATCTGCCATTGTCACTATAACAGAAAAGTACACATATAAATTATAAACAGAAATAAAATTACCATTATGTCTATGGAGTACTAATAATATAAGAACAAACTCAATAATGCAATATGGTTATATTCAAACATTCATACAAAGAAAACAAAAACTGAAAGAAACGTGCTAAGAAAAACTATATACCCTTGTACATCATTCATAATTAAAAATAATAAGAAAAAACATCATAAATGATCCCTGTGTTTTCCCAGAATCCGAAGTTTAGTCCCCGTGGTTTAAAAATCTCATAAATGGTCCCTATGTTTTCAAAACTTTTGACAGATGGTCCTTATGCTAACTCCGTTAAGTTTTATCCGTTAACTGAAGGGCATTTTCGTCATTTCACACCACATGGACCATTTATGAAGTTTTTCTCTTATTTACAAAGGGGTCTCTCTCTCTCTCTCTCTCTCTCTCTCTCTCTCTCTCTCTTTGACGCCTGCGTCCCCCTCCTTCGTTTCCCTCTCTTGAGGAAATAGTCAACCAAGCCACCTTCCTCCCCTACAGCAAATCCCAAATGGAGTTCTATGTCGACGAACTGGTTCCATATCTAGAAAACCAGACCTCAAACCTTGCCACCGGATCCGCCAGCACGTCAGTAACCATGGCCATGGACGCGTTGGTGCCAAGCTACAACACCCATCCGCAAACGCTGCGGTCAGTTGCTAATGGCTCCGTGGTTCACCCAAATCGAAACTAGAAACCAAATTATGATACATATTGATGCTTACAGTTGGATTTTTTTGGACATTTAATTTGACGCTCCCATTTAGGGTATTTTATGGTGTCGTGGTGGAGAAGAAGGTTGACCGATCTCCTTCATCAATTTCATCAGGAACCACTTACGATTTTTAGGGCTATTCGAATTCATCCGGTTAGGATCAGCCTTCGATTTCATTATTAACAAGCACTCATTTGATTCTTGGATGAACACGTCTTCAGATTCTGGTACTTATAACTCCACTTCCTCCCATCTCGGTTTTCCGGTCACAACCAGCACATTTTGGCTCTTCTTCCTTAATATAAATGCAATGGAAATCATTTGTGATCTTTATTCTCAATGGTAACTTAAGAATCGGAATCCTAAATTCGAATAAAAAACTAAAATCATGTTTGTTTTTGTTTCCATAAATCAATTTGAGTTAGTGTGTGGGTGTTCATCCTACCATAAATTGATTTGTATGTGGATGTTTATCTCTCACTGTTCATTCAGTCATCTTTATATGTTGGGGGTCTTGTGATTCTGGTGCTCCGGTGACTCCACATATGAGTTTGGACTCTCCATGGGAGGTCAAATAAGGAAAAAGAAGGAAAAAGAAGTTGCTGAAGGTGTTTGGACTCAAATTTTGGTGTAAATTTGGTGTTTTCAAGTTTAATTGTATTTATGTATGTGTAGTTTAAGTTGTAGGTCAAATAAGGCAAAAGAAGTTGCAGAAGGTGTAACGCCCGGGTTTTCAGGGCTAAGCATTTTTGTCAATGTAATAGTCTAGGTCAACTATTGTAACTCTTTTTGAAGTAATAAATATGAAATATTTGAGTATTATGTGAATTATGTGTGTTTATGTGTTTATTATTTAATTATAAATGTATAATTAATAAAGAATAAAAATGAGCGTCAAAATTAAAGTGTGAGATAATCCCGATATCTCTACATAAAGTTGTAGAATATGTCTCAAGGTTTCCGTGCATATAAATAATGCCGAAATCCGAGCTATAACGAAGAAGTTATGGCCCGCCGAAGTTTTACGACAAAACCGGCACGATACCGGGAGACGTAAATAGTGAATTTACGATAGAAGACTTTTTAGCCTTAGCAATCTAAACAAAAGTCGTAGAATATGTTAAACTAAGAACATCGATAAAAAGAACGCCCAAATCTGACTTCGTATGAAGAAGTTATGATTTTTCTAAGATTCGGCTTAGCAGTGCACGGCCTGAAACTCGAATTTTAGTTCGAGCGGTTTTTGGCTTACGCAACGTAAATGAGAGTTGAAGATCTCATTAATAGGAAATCAACGGTAAAAAGACAGACAAAAACAGAGTCCGTATGTAGAAGTTATTAATTTTACGCAGACGTTTAACAGTATAATCTCCTTGTACTGTTAAATTTAAGATCGGTCGAGAATTAGCTGACGGTGTCAAAATGAAAGTTGTAGATCTTATTATTACCTACGCGTGGATATAAAGAACGTCAAAAACGGAGGTCGTATGTGAAAGTTACGGATTTTAGAAGTCGGAAGTGTGCTGTGCGAAAATGGGTGATGTGGCACAATCTTGGCCATTGCTTTCTCCCCAAGGCTTGCCACCAGATGGTGACATGTGGCACCAAGTTCAGCCACATTTCACCCTATAAATACCACCTCTCCCACCCTCATTTTCTTCACACCTTTCCCATTCTTTCTTCTCTTTACTCTCTCTCTCTCTCTAGAACCTCTCTCTAGCCCCGAAATCCCCCGAAAAGCCTAGGGAACCTCCCTAGCACGAGGCGGAAGCCCCGGAGTGCTCGAAGGCTCTGAGAAGAAGAGCTTTTCGGCTCGGGAACGCTGCTCCAAGCAAAGCCCGGTTTTCTATAAAACCCGCTGTAAGTGAGCTACGCCTACGCTATTTTTAATATAACTTTTATTTAATTATAGTAACGTTATTAGGAACTTATAATAAATACTTGGGCTATTATTATGGGTTATATAAGTATTTTTTTGACGCTTATATAATAATAATAATAATAGCTAGACTATTAATTAGTCTCGACGAATAATAAACTAAACTCTAGTGGTAATAATACTAGGTTTCGTCGAAGAAAAATTCTTTTTAAGAAGCGAAGCGCTGTCTGAGTTCGGAATCACCACCTTTTCCGGT